TAAAGCCACTGAGGCATGGAACATCTGATCTCTTTGTTTAGGCAGGATTCCATTGGCACATTATTTACACATTTCCAATTGGATCTCAAAGGTGTATATTACTTAATTGTTAAATTTTAATTTATTTTTTCAAGGGCAAAAATAACAAGCAGATTCCCTGGAGTTATTGTAAATTGATGGGATCTTGCCTGTATTTAATAACCTTTGAACCATTCAATTCCCTATAGTTAGTTGTCTTCATCTTCTTAAATATACAGTCATCTGATCCTGAATGGTGAAATAGGTCAAAATACATTTTACAACTAGTGAGATCATCCAGGTCGCTTCCCACTCTATTCAGTGGTCATTCTGAATTTTCTAAAAAATATATTTTTTGTCAAAATTCTAAGCTGAACCAATATTGAATTGAATTTGAATTCTTTTGGGGATTCTTAAATGATACTGGTCTGATTCTTTTTAGCCTTATAATGGGACTTAGATTAGATCTTCTTATTTAATTTATTTTATCAAGCATGTATTAGATAACAGATATAAGTATAAACATGATTATGAATACATGAAATGGATATGAATAAAGGAACATTAGGACAGCATGGTAGGCATGCTGGTGCGCTTATGCACACCCCTTACACATCTCTTAGGAATGGGGTGAGGTCGACAGTAGATGGTCTGAAGTTAAAGTTGTGGGGATTTGGGGAAGAAACCACAGAATTAGGTAGCACATTCCAGGCATTGACCACTCTGTTGCTGGTCGTATTTTCTGCAATTGAGTTTGCAGTGATTTATCTTAAGTTTGCATCTATTGTGTGCTCGTGTATTGTTGTGGTTGAAGCTGAAGTATTCATTGATGGTAGGAAATTGTAGCAGATAATTTTATGTATTATGCTTAGGTCAGACCGAAGGCGGCATAGTTCTAAGTTGTCTAAGCCCAAAATTTCAAGTCTGTTTTAATTTTTTCCCCTTGCACTTTGTGTGAATTGCATGTAGTGGAAGAAAATATTATCTGAAAGGATGAAAGATTTGGAAATCTATATTAAATACTGTTGGGGTAAACAAAATTTGGCTCCATTTCCTTTGTGCTGACTCTGTAAACTGCTTAGAGAGGGCTGTAAAGTACTGTGAAGTGCTATTGTTAGTGCTAATCATACCTTTGGCCTACTATTAAATAATTGCTTTTATTGTTTTGCAATACAATCTCTTGTACAACACCAAAATGTATATGTGAAAATTTAGTTGATGTGACGTTCAATCCTACGTCTTTAGCCTGATGATGCCCTTCAAGTATATTAAAATTCCTGCTGACATTCTTCTGAGAGTTGAAATTCAGCATACCTGAAGGGCATCAAGTTTTAGATTGGTTGTCAGGTACAAAGCACAGCACCTTAGTAAATAAAAATGATGACAGCTCTCCTTTTTCTCTATGCCTTTCCAAAATCTACTGGTTGCCATCCAGTAAAATTCTGAGGGTTTGGAATTGAGGATGACAAATAATTAGCGACCAGGGGTAGGTAGGGCAGATTTCTGGTACTATTATTACTTTCTCTCTCTCTTTTTTTTAAAAAAATTTTTTTTTTACAAGGAGGATCATGTGTATGGTTCTTGGAAATGTACCTTCTATCAGTACAAATTCAAAATCCATCTGGATGATCTTGAATAAAAGTATAAGATGACAGACAACTGTCTTTCCTAACTTGATGACTTCCAGGTTTGTTGGGTCAACTCCCAAGATTCCTCTTGTCAACGCTTTTGAAAAGTGAGATATAACCTTGCTTCTAGGAGTCAGAAAACTTTAAAAAAAATATTTTTCCTTGATGGAATGCCACAGAGTTATCAGCTGTCCTTGGTATTTTTATACAGTAGAATTTTACCTCTTAAGCTGATGGTAGCAGAGAGAAAAGAAAGCTTTTTTTTTTTTGCTTTTAAAATAAAGCCTTCCTTTAAGCCTATTTTATAAATTGCCTTTGCTAAGTGGGAGGTTGTAAGATTAGTAGATAAAACTGTAATTGTTAATCAGAAATGTATATTAGCCATTTCCCAGCTATGTCAATAGAACAGCTGGGAATTAATACCTAGGATGTCATAATGCTGGTTCAGGAATTATTGCTGAACCAATCTGTATTAATAAAATTAACATCTAGCTGCAGAATAAAATTCATTTATGGAAAGAACCTGGGAGGGCTACAAAATGTTGATGTTATCTTTAATTCACATACCACATTGGTCTTCGTTAAGCAAACTGTATAATTTGCTGTGCTGGCAAATAAGATATAATTCATGTCCCTTTTTCTTCTGTCTTCAAACTGTTTTTTCCCCATTTATCTCAGTATGGTTTGCAATCTTAAGAATTGCAGTTAAAGCCCTTGGGGAGTTGCTCAAGGAGCCAGCTACCACATAGAGCTGCTTGAGGAAAGTGTCTTTTGTGAATCCCAACAGGAGCAGGCTTGATTTGCAGTTCCAGTCTACTAACAAATAGCTATAAAAAGTTACCCAGCATTTAGAAATGTATTTTTGAGAGAATAAATCTTCCTTCAGTTGAAATAACCAAAGGCACAACTGAATAGGACCACCTTCCCTCTTTTTATTTCTCTCCCCTCTCCATTCCATTGTAGAGTTAGAACTTTCCTTCCTTCATTCTCCTCCCTCCCTCCACTTGCCTCCCTCCTACTTATCTTCCTTCCTCTCCTTTCTTCCACTTATCTCCTTCCTTCCTTCCTTCCATTTTCTTTCCTCTATCTTCCTTCCTTCCTTCTTTCCTCCTTCTATCTTCCTTCCTCCCCTCTACCTCCCTCCCTCCCTCCCTTCCTGAAAGATCAATATGAAATCAATCTGAGGCATGAGTGACTGTCTATTCCAAAGAATAAGAAATGTTGTTTTGGGTAAGATGTATCTCCCCAATGCATGTCTGAGCATGTATCCTTCTCTGTCCTTGTGCAGATATTTTACACTGCACACAGTGTTGAGCTGAAGCTGTAGCACATTTGACAAGCTGTAGCAAATCATTAGAAGGCAGCCAGTTCTTATTACCCATTGGGTAATGGAGTATATGTTGACAGTAATGATGATGGTTTGGGATAGAATAAAATATGGAGCAATTATAGTAAAAGAAGCTCATGATTGTTTACAGCATCTCTGAACAGATACTGACTTGCTCTTCCACAAGCTCTTTGGTGTGAACTATTTCTCAGATACGTTGCATTCTAAGGCACATAAAATTATACTATTTTCCTTTGGGCTGGAATATTTGTAGTTCTAAACAAAGAATTAATTAATTATGTATGAATGGCTGTGTTTTCGAACCCTGATGCTCAGACATAGCTCTAGCAGAATTTCAGATTTGAAACAGTTCTGTAGGCATTTCATTCTTTCCTCTGGTTGTTTTCAGCAATGATCTTTTGCTAAGACAGTGTCACTGTATTTCTTCTTATAAAGGTTTTTTTTTTGTGGGGGAGGGAGGACAGAGGAAAGCATTTTAGCATTTTTCCTATGAGCTCAGGACATTTAACTAGTTCCAGAAGACCCCCCATCAGGTTGGTTAGAAGGGAAGACTTATTTGAAGCTATTTTATAAGCTTTGTTTTTATGATATGACATAACATTCATTTATTAGTTACATATGCCATGGAATCTCTCACATACCTCACAGCATTTTTCCACAATAAAAATAACATCTAACAACTGCAATAAAAAAAAACCATTCATGATAAACTGTATGTTAAATTTTGCAAAACCAATAAGCGCAATCAGTATCATCAAATGTAATTTTTAACCACTCCCCAGAAGAACTGACACCCACTATGTTTAATTGGGGTGGAATTTGTCTATCATGACTCTACAATCAGTGGAGTGGCCTTTGAAGATCCCTTTGAAAATGCAGGTGGTGCAAAACTCAAAAGTCAATGCACTTATTGGTCTTGTTGCCATAAGCCCATCTTACTTGTATTGTTTTCCAGTAGGTTTCTGAATGCAGTTATTTTTTATACAAGCTAAATTCACAAGCAAGTTTTCTTAAGTAATTGTGGTAGCTAGATTTACACATGATGCCTGCCACACTAAAGTTAAGCATGAACCTACAAAGCGCCTTAGTCAAGTCCAGCCCAGTCCAGCTCAAGAATGTAATAGAACATTCAGTTCAGTTCTTTATTGCTCTCACCAAAACTACAGAATCTTGCCAGACTAAAACCAATGTTACTCTCACTGTAATGGATTGTGGCTATCCCGATTCTAACCCTGACTATTGGCTAAGACAGTGAGCTTGTCAATCAGAAAGGTCGGAAGTTTGGTGGTTCGAATCCCTAGTACAGGTCAACTGTGTGAGCAAGGGGGTTGGACTAGATGACCTCCAAGGTCCCTTCTAACTCTGTTCCTTTTAATATGATTCCCTTCCTCTGTCTTCTGTCCAGCATTGGACTGTGCTGCCTCTTACCTTGTTGACTCCTTGGAATGTTTTCCTCCTTCCTGGGAAATTGCCACTTCAATCTAGTCCTTCCCACCAGTTCTCCCTCTGTGGGCACCAGACATCACATAGCAATAGCACTTAGAATTATATACCTCTTTATAGTGCTTTACATCCCTCTCTAACTGGTTTACAGAGCCAGCCTATTGCCCCCAACAATCTGGGTCCTCATTTTACCCACCTCAGAAGAATGGAAGGTTTAGTCAACTTTGAGCCTGGTGAGATTCGATCTGCCAAATTGCAGGCAGCCAGCAGGCAGCAGAAGTAGCCTGCAGTACTGCACTCTAACCACAGGGCCACTGAGGCTACATCCTTATAGCTTAATCACTAGCGCTGATGATATTACCTAGTTAGGGTAATGAAACGTCTGCAAGAAAACAAGCAAGCTCAGAGAGCACGGAGGACCCCTTGTAGATTAATGCTTGAGTTGAATGAGGTTAGGTTTTTCTGTAGCTGATGCTATTGTATGGATGAACAGGAAAGTGATACTCTGAATTGTATTTCATTAGGAAACTCCTGTTGTGACATTCTCCTTTGATTTCTTCCAGGCTTACAGGTTTCCAGCTGCCTCCTCCCATTGTGAGTACTGGAGTGGTGCTGTCCTTGTTGCTTGTAAGCGACTATGCTGTCAGTGCTCAAGGATTTCAGGCAACCTATGAAGGTGGGTTTGCGTTCGGTGAACTTTTGACATTCATATGCTGGGCTTCTATAAAGGGGATTTTCTGGTCAAGTAGCTGTAAAACCTCTTCCAAATAGAGTTGAACTTGGTGATTTCATGGATACAACAGTATAGTTTTCTTGGCAGCATTCAGGAAATAATTTTACATTCCTTTTCTTCTGGGAATTTTGTTTCAGTCTGGGAAATTCTTATAGTTTTTCATCTAATATTGATTAGGCCTGACCCTGCTTAGCTTAGAATAGGGATCTCTCTCTTGGCAATCTTGGCTGTGGAATTCTGGGAGTTGAAGTCCACAAGTCTTAAAGTTACCAAGTTTGGAGAATCCTGGCTTAGAGAATCAGCCAATTGTGGTTTCCAAAGAATGTTCATGCTATAGAACAGATCATGCATATTAGGACAATGATCTTTTAAAATAACTCTGCATTTGATAAGTGTTGAGTTAGCAACTTTTTGCAACATGTTTGAAATTAAGGTGTGAAATCAAGGGATTTTAAACTTGTATCTTGTACAGGAAACATTACTGAGTTAAACTATGCTTACTCTTTGGTTTGGAGCCAGAATACCAAAATGCCCTCTCCTCATATATTGATGAGTTTGGTGTGTTGTGGATGAGTAGTAACTGCAAAAGACTGGGCTCCTTCTGTTGCAATACTACAACTCTTGGGTATACAATTGGATTTAATTGTGTTTTAATTTTTATTGCTCGTATAATTGTTTCTTTTTTAAGTAAGCAAAAGAACCACCCAGGGGTGGGCTTCAATTTTTTTTATCAAGGGGTTCTCTGCCCGGTTCCTGGGTGGGCATGGCCATGAAGGGCATGGACTAGTTAGCCTCCTGCACCACGGGGGGGGGGGGCATTTTTGCCCTCTTCGGGTTCCGGAAGCTTTCCTCCCTTTATTTATTTATCAGCACAAATGCAACACAAAAATGGTTTCCACAAAAAGTGTGGAGCTGAAAGGCAAAGGGGAAGCAG